TATGCTTATCATTACAGTTTCTTCGGGTTACACTTCTCCGAAATTTCTATTTTCAGAGTTCTGCGCAGATTTTGGGTTGGTGTAATCAAAAAATCAGCAACGATCAGCATATTTACTGATCGTCGCTGATCTGATATCTATCAAATTTACCGATGTAACTTAGTTATAATTCTCTAATTTACTATTATAATTGATTATAATTTTCTGATTAGCCATTACAAGTTACAATTAATTGAGATAACATCTTTATATTTGTATAATATTTTTATTATAACTATCTATATTAACAATTTATTTGAGATATTTCTTTATTAAATAAAATAAATCTTAATTTTTACTATTCTTTAATTTGAAGAAGATCTTTTTGAAAATAAATTATTTTAGTCTTTGTAATAAATAGTTTACTTATCAATATTATTTTAATGTAATTTTTATAACTAATTTCTTTTTTCAGACTTTATACTTTAATAGTTCTTTATAAATCTCATAAAATAAATTTTCTTTTTAATTATTATTATAATAAAAATTTATTTTACATTCACATTCTTCTTATTCAAACTTTTTATTTGTATACTTAGCTATAAAAGTTTATCTTTTATTTATATATTTCAAATTGACTTTCAACATATTAAGATTTATTTGAAATATTATTGAGAGAAGTAAATAGCCTGATTATAATAATATAAAATCTAAAAGAATATTATATATATACTCTTTAATATTATAACATAGTCAATAAAAAAAAGATTATGAAATTTTATTATTTTTGATATCAATATATTAAATTAAATAACTGAACTTTAAGTTTTAACAAAAAATAAAAATTCAATTCTTTTTTATCTTTAGTAAACTTCTCAAAAAATCTTTTATGACTTGATGATGATATGAAACTCAAAGAAATAGAATGTTCACAAACTTTAACAGTATGTTAAAAAAATAATAAAAGTTTACCCAAGTGAATGAAGATTATGGTAAATTGTTAGTGTAAAGATATCCTGGCCTGTTTTTTTCAAAGTTCTTTCACTTTGGAAAGACATAACCATCAATTCTTCATCACCAATCATTTGAGCCATTTTGCCGGGTAGTGCTAATTAAGCATGGTCATCCTGAACAAGGCCTAGCGTTGGCGAAATCAGTCTCAACATGCCATTTTAATGTATTACAAACTGTTGCTAAACCACATCCAACGGTTTCTGCAATTGACGATATGAATCTCCACATTTATGGCAATAGAATATAGTACCACGTTGCTCCAAAGTTAACTCCTTGTTTCTCCTCGTTATGATGTATAAGGAAAAAAACAAAACGCAAAAATCACTTCTCAGAAATCACATATAAAAACAGATCTTTCCTTTTATAAAATGCGAATTTCGTTTTGAAAAAGCGTTCAGAAACTTTTGATAGCCTTCCCCTCTGTATAAATGTCATATAGATATATTCTAACCCCAATTCTATAAGAAATTGATGCACATAAATACATGTATACATAAAGTATGTACAGTACATTTATTATGTATGTATTTCATGCATTTACATGCATGGGAAACACATGCAAAACATGTACTTTACATGCGTTTACGTATGTTTATGTCTGTCCAAGAAACATATTTTTTTCATATATAGATAATTCGGTTTTTTGCACACAAGGAAGATAGTCAGAAAAGATTAATTTAGATATGCTAAATGATGAGAATTATGTCGAGTTCATTTTAATTTTTACAAGCTGTGATTATGATGTTTGCTTTTCTGCAGTTAGTTGCCGCATAATATACCTTCATATACTTGTAATGTCCAATTTTGAATTCAAACAGAAAGAGAACCTGGCAATACAAGAAATGAATGCTGATATTTCTGTATATCCTGCAAGAGTACAAGATATGTGTCAGATTGATTTCTTTGTGGGAAAACCTTCAATATCAACGATATATACTTTATGTATTCTTGCACACTGTTGCTGTCGAGTCTATTGAAATATCATTGGGATGAATTTATCACTATACCATAGATATATAATTGACGATCGAAACTCAACTACAATTATTAAAAGAAAATTTAGAATGTTAGAGAGATTCGATATTATCGGATTATCCAGAGTCCGGAAAAGGGGAGTCACGTGATCCGCAAGTCTTCTGGCGGACTCCTTGTACATTGTAACTACCTATTTAAAAGATCTCATGATTTCGAGGTGGATCCATGAATTTGACGCGAGGTTTATTGTTCTATTTTGAATTTTTAGGGAAATATTCCCATCAAACTTACCAATCGTAGTATCGTATTTTCGCGGGTCGAAAGCACAAATTTTACAAAAAAATATCTATGCTTCGAAACAAGAGAATATAATAAAATTAATGGAATAAGAAAATAAAGTAAAATTTTTATGTACGATAAAAAAATATGAATTTAGCAAGAAAAATTTAATTATCAAGGATCCGAAGTAAGGGGATAACGTACGAAGTATGGAATTTGGTATGAAAGTTCTATGATAATCAAAATCCTGGGATTGCAAGTAATTTTAGTAAGAGATCCTTACTATTAGGGAGTTTCGAAGTAAAGCGGCGCGTTAATGTTGATACTACGAGGTAATAATTTTTGTATGAGTTTTGTGGTTCATGTTTAAATGTTATGGGCCAATGCTAATATTATTTTTAAATTTTCATTACATATTTAAGAGTACAGAATTAAGAAATTTTGAATTACTCCAAACATTCTGTAATCATGAGATTTTACGTTGCAATATTTAATAGAATATATACAAATTTATACATATCGATATACATGTACTTTTTTTGATGTCTAATCGGGAAAATTTATTTAACGCTAAAGATCGATTCAAATTCTGAGCGATTTTTTTATAGAAATTATGTTCTCCAATCTAATCCGATTTCTTTTTCAGTTAAATTAAATAGTCGGATATCTCTGAGATTGTTCTCACATAATCGCATCAAATTCCATAAATTCGACAAAATTATTCGTTCTCCGTAAAGACTTAATTCATTCGCGTCTTTTAATCAAATGTATGAATTCTCAATTTAATTAGTCCCCTATTCTTTGATACTTCAGACGCTACAGCCAAATCCATCTTTAGCATATGTTTAATAATTTATTTGTGTGTTTCTTCTAACCCCCTATAATCAAAAAAATTGATTCATAAATTCAAAGTGCATGACAAACACTAAAAAATCTCCGGAAAAAAATTATGCAATACATGTTCATGTATTACGTATGGCAACATAATTCACCGAAAATCGGAAAAAAACATGGCAAACCGACGATGCTGCTGTGGTTTTTTTAATTTTCCGTTCCGTGCATTGCTATTTTTTTCGGCACGAGAAATTTAATATGAAGTTAAATTTGAAACAACAAAATATCCATGCCACGATTACGTGTTTTATACAATTCAAAACCAAAATTGTTGTTCTGATTGTTTTGTTATACATTACATGACCGACGATCACTTAAATTATTAATAAATAAATTCCGACATTATTGCCATAATTAGCTGTCGGACCGGATTTCCACTGAAATTTTGCATGAATGATGGTCTTTTTTTGGCCAATAGATAATTTTGCTATCAAATAAAGAATTCAAAGTTGACGTTGATAACAGATCAATAAACGTTCCATTTTCAATATTTCAATGAATTTTAAATTTTTCCAATCGATTTAAAGATAAACAGCAAGATGGCACAAAAGCTCTATTTAGCAACATTGATGAGGATAACAATTGTGGTCATATGGCTTACGGAAGGGCTATCCGCGATAACTGGTATTAAAGACAATAAAAATTATGTTAGCTGTTACACGTACGAAGATACGGTGTTTTCGTTCTATAGAAGCTACGAATATGGCTTGGGAAATTCTGCTTTACCCAATGGAATAATATTAAGGGGGGAGGGGGATGAAAATCAAACCGAAGAACAAGCAAGATATGTGAGGCGTTCACCAGATTAATTAAAGATAAAAAATATATTCGAATTCAAACACAAATCCAACCTCGATGATCGAAAAACCTGAAACCTATTGATAGATGAATTCACAGGAGATGCAGTTGTGTTTCTTGATTGAAAGTAAAAAAATACATGTATATTCAGACTTATGTCGTCGTTTCAGGGTCATGACAGCTTTCTTTTTGGTTAGAGAATATTGGGACTCATTAATGTTGTCTTTCTTCGAATTCCATTAATGTACTGTATATTACTTAAGATTACTTAATGATGAGTGAGTATACCGGACAAAGACGAGTATTAAACATGTTATCGATCGCAGCTATTAAAAAATACAACGTGTTCGTTATTTTTAGTAAGGCTGATTCGATCATTTGCTTCCAGAAAACTCTCAAGAATGCTGGGCGCATTTCTTGTCTTTACTAAGATTATTATAATACTTGAATGTTTATTGTAAGCACACCCAAAAGATAAGATCGTGTCGGCCGTGAAATGCTAACATGACATGATGATGAATTTGAATTCAAAAAAAATTTGCAATCATTAAAGGAATTTAGCATCTAGCACTAGACTTTTTTTACTCATACAAATTCTCATTGAATTACTTACGAGATTGTTTAATTTCTATATATGTCTAACAAATTATTAGTAATAGATAAATATGAAACGTATTCAGTTAGTCTATCGAATTGAGAAAAAGACCATGCTGAGGAAAAAGCCATATGATCTTTGAATCTTTAGATTCAAACTGAAATGCTATAAATATCATAAACTTAATGAATTACGTTAAAAAATTACATGTCTTGGGTAACATTCGTTCATTACTTCGTAAATTGCTAATGCATCACAATTTATCATCATCCATTGAGTTTGATAAATCTTTTCGTGGTTCACAAAAATTATATCTTTCTCATTTGTTCGATTAATTCCTAACGAGCATGCGAAAAACTTTAATTAGAATCATCTGATTTTCGGGCCGAACTAATAGAGCGGATACCAATTAATTCAATAAATGTATGTTATATGATATAAAGCATATGTCAATTAGGTAATCTAGATTTGTTCTATTCAAAATGTCCCTTATCAGCTGATTACGTGACCGGAAGAATAGAGTATCTAAAATAATGGTTGCTAATAGAACTCGTTATTAGGTTGAGATCATCCGATCAAAAATTTTTATGCTATGCAATAGTATGTGAAAGGACAGTTCCAAAGCTTCTAGCGAGGTTTTGAGCTCATCTTTCTAAAAGATCTAGAATCATTAACGAGCCATAGAAGCCATATATATCCTTCTGTTGATTTGTATGTGAAACTTTTATTAAGTTGATACATGTTTTTTACTAATCATTTAATAATATCCATAATGGGAAATGATCCGTGACAAGTTATTATGCGTTTCGGTTTCTAGATGTATCGATATCTGGAAAACAAAAAAAACCAAGAAGAAAGAAGAAATTTAAATTTCCTTTAATCATACTCCATATACTCGGGGATAGTAACTTTATGAAAGATGTGACTATATAGGGGTGTGCATATCAAGAAGGCAAACCGTCACAGCGTGTGGGTTCCTTTTAAGTCCAATTTTGTATGAACTTTATATTGCAAAAATCGTCGGAGATTTGTTTCGATTTTTTCCACTTTCCCACACTAAGCACAAGTTGGTTTTCAAAGATACATCTCATTATTAAATTGGTGATATTTTTTTAGATGATCCTGCAACATTTTTAATTAGCTATGAGATGTGAAGATAAGTCAGACTAGACTACGCACGCGGAGCGGGGAAAAAGTTTTAATGAAATATCAACATAACGCATCACATTTTCGCTATGATACAAATGATATAGGATTGCGGGAAAGTTTTAGTCCAAAAATAACGAGATTCCCGGAGAGCCCCAGCTTCTTTACAAGTCAATTTGATTTACATATGCCTCTTTCATTGAAGACTTAAAAACTTTAGATAGTCCAACATTCATTCAATATTTTACACGTAAATATTACAAACATCAATTAGCCTCAAACGAGAATCATTCAAGTTGTAAAGTAAATTAAATATTACACTCTATATATATAAATTAATAAATTAAATCGTACGATAAAGTCACGGATCTAGAACCCGCAAGAACTTACCATTTAGAGAAATAATTGTTCATCATGGCCCTGCATCTAGTTATTTGGGCTAGTAGGCAGAGCATGATTCCTCGGAAGTCAGGTTCGAATTCTAAATTCAGTAAATGCATGATAAAAAATTTTCGGAAGAATGGTTTACAATAAATAAATTGTTTCATCAGAGTAATCGGATCAATTTATATGCATAAAGTAAAAAAAAGTGTTATTTGATATCTTGTGAACACTCGATCTATAAGCATATATACAGTACATTATATGTATGCGTGTGTATGTTTATTTTATACACACACATATTAAAGCCTATTAATTTACACCAGAACAAATATAGAATTATGTATAAGCTGGAGTCAACGAGGGAAGTTGATTGGAGCGGCTTCAAGCTTATGGCGAATAAGTTTATTTATTATATCTTGTATACAGTGTAAATATTATATAAGGAGGACTTTTCAACTTTCCAACTCTGTTTAACTCATAATAAAATTATTAAATATAAATCAAGTGGTTGAAATCTATTTGCTTCTTTTTTTTAAAGAAATAACAATAAATATCAGGTTCCACTTTAAAGAATTCGATACCAAATCATATTTTATTTGATTCCACACTTTGCACATATTCGCACTTGAACTATTATCATTGTCTTTATACTTTTTTCTAATTAAAAAAAATTATAATCAAGATGATTGATTCATCAAACAGCACAAATTCAAATGAAACTGGAATAACTTCGATAGAATTTATTCACGAATCTGAAGACTACGAGAATCGCGAAAGAATGCGAGCAAGTTTACGTAATATTCCAGCAGAGATGGTACCGCCGGTGGATGTTCCTTTCCCTCCAGATGTCAATCCAAAAGACTTGATACGTCGAGACCAAAATGGAATATTACGAGCACGGGCGACAAACAAATTCTTAATATATCGAAGTCAATACGCTAAGGCATTGAAAGCCAAGGGATTTTGTATATCAATGCGAACTGTGTCAACTTTGGCGTCAAAAGTATGTATGGAAAACAAATGTTTTTAGAAGAATGCAATATTTCAATAAAATTCTAATATATCTTATTTATTATTCGTATAGTCATGGCAAAAAGAACCAAGAAAAGTTCAAAGAAAATATGAAGAGTTGGCCAAAGAGGTCGCGAAACTTCGCGAGGAAATGAGTACTGATCCGACAAATTGTGAGAAAAAGAAGAAAAACGACAACACTTTACATAATAACAATATCATAAATACAGAAAATTCATTAAATATGGCTGGTTTGAATAATTTCGGAAATAATCACGCAGGCTTTTCTTTTGATAACTTTCAATCCCAGCAATATTTCAATCGATACACGAACTTTCAATTCCCAGACGGTTATTTTGCTGACGTTCTAATTCCTGACGAAACTTTTATACAGTCGTCTCAAATAGTTCCTCCTCAACCTATAGTGCCATCCTATAAAGCAATAGGCGACCATCTATTTGATGTTCTTGAGCAGCAATGTGATTTGTTGTACTCCATGTGAACATAAAATAGTTGGACACGCACGATGTCACTTTTCCATAATTTAACTGCAAAATGTATAAAATTAAATTTTTAGGAAATTTTTAGGACATTTTTTTTCTAAATTTTATTCACGCGCATAGTCAATTTTCCTTTGAAAATTCAAAGTAATAATCCGAGATCGTCACCTAATATAATATCTTTATATATTTTATATATAAAGTTTCAATCGTGGCATCTTTTTTTCAGTGGTTCAAGTTTCTTTATTTGGCTCTCATGTAGTAGCGATAGTTCAAGTTTCTTTATTTGGCTCTCATGTAGTAGCGATAGCATCATCAAATCTCTACCTCAAATGCTAAGATTCTATAGTTATAGTGTTATAGTGTGAAACAATAATAATTTTTCTATTGTTTATTATAGATGTATGAATAAAATATGACTTTCCCATTACGTACGTATCCTTATCAAAGCATACAACAATATGATAACGTAAAATGCGTTTGTACTTGCAAATTATCTACTTATATTTTTATTTTGAAGTAATATATTCCGTTTGGGGAAGACTCCAGAAGTTGGCGCAGAGATATCGTGTCTTTTTCGACAAATGATAATTTTTAACAAGCTTTTTAATAAAAATAAAACAATTTTGTAATTTTTATTTGAATTTCATGATTTTTGAAAATTTGCCGTGCTGTGTTAGTCATTTTATTCTAATAAAACAGACACAAAGATTGCAAACTATATGTATTTAGTTTTCTCTAGAAAATAAACATGCAACTTTACGATTGCTAGTTTTCAGAAAATCTATATTGACATGTATAACGTATAATCATTATAATGCAACGGAAAAACATAATTCTCTTGTATTGCTTCGTGAACCTCTGTACGAGCATTAATCAAAAGTTATAATTAAAAAAAAATACAATTATTACTTTGCTAAATGCATGTACATGTATAAGCATAGCCAGTTCAGCTTTAAAATGCAAACTAGGTTGTGCATGTACATGTATGTTAAAATGAAAACATTGCTTTGCATGTCGATATCATAAACAAATTCTTGTACATGTACATGTAACTAGCAAAAGCTGAATATGCATGTACATGTATTAAAAATTTGTGCATGTATATTGTAATTTAAAGTTATCAGTTTTAATTTAAAATGGGAGCCAGATAACTAGGCGCAAAAAAAGCTACTAATTTACCAATAATAAATTTGTTGAATGGCTGGTTTATAGCCTTAGTAATCATAATACCAGCGCTTCGAATGAATAGAATCAAAACAAAGATAGGTAATTTGAATAAATATCATAATACAAAGTTTAAATGCTCATGGTATCCGTAATCAACTCTCTAAATACAACTTTCGTTCTTCCAAGTACAGAGCATGATAACGATAAATAAATGTGAATCCCGTTTTCCGCTTTTGTAATGAATTTTCGAAATAAAATAAATTTGAGAATTTCATAATTTGCGTCATTTTATTTTCTCTATCTTTTTATCTTACTTGTATGAAGAAAAATAATTAATGGCATCATTATTTATTTTGTATATCACTAGAAAGTAAATCAAAATTTTATGTCTATAAAATTTAGAATTACATTTTAATAAAATTAATTAAAATTAAAATTATTTTTCTTTTTATATTATATTATACAAGAATTTAAGGGAGTCAAATAAAGAAACATATTTCTAGAATTCTGCTCAATTCTAGTAAATAATAAATTTTATAGAACTTTTTAAAATAAATTAAGATAAACATTTTTTATCAGTATTATATAAAAGCAAAATGGATAAATAATTTTAATTTATAGGCTCAACCTATTAATAATACTCTTCTCTCTTTATAATAATTAATATAAATAATATTATTATATTATAAATAATAATTTCATTTAATAAATAAATTATAATGAAATTTTAATATAAATAAAATCAATTAATAATTTCAAAAATTAAATATTAAAACGAATTTATTTAAATTAAAATAATAAATTAAAAAAAATATGCAATAAAAAGAAAATCACAAATATTGCATGTAAAAATTTATTATAATAAGTATTAATTATATGATTAGAAGTAATGATATTAATAAGTTATAAAAATTAGAGCAAATTATAATTTAAGTTGAAATTTATTTAGTTTAATTTTAATAATATAGTATTACAAGAGCAAAATTATAATTTAAGTTAGTTAATAAATATAATTTCTAGCTATATATATTTATTTATTATATATTTTTATCATTTTATTTTGTTTTAATTTTATTATTATATATATTATCATAAATTAATAAAAATCTTTTTAATTTTTAAAGAGATTGAAAAAGATCAAAAATTAAAGTATATTAAATTTAAAATAATTTATTATATAATTATTTTTTATAAATATTCTTTATAAGTTTTTCAGTTACTAAATTATAATTAAAAAATCTCTTTATAATTAAATCTCTTATAGATATTCAATTTACTTTTTAATATAGTAGCTATAAAAATTTAATTATATATAAAAATAATAAATTATTTTATTTATTATAATTTTTGTTTTTTAATTTTTTTTAATTAATAATAAATAATAAATAATTATTAATAATTAAAAAATTAAATATATATAATAATATATATAATTATAAAATTAAAATATTAATAAAATAAAATGAAAATTAAAATTTTTTATATTAAAGTTTATAATTTTATTAAAAAAATTTATTTATATATCAAAATAAAAGTTTATAATTAAGCTTAATTCTTTAATTAATTTAAAAAATTATTTAAATATTTATATAATTAAATTATTAATTTTTTATTTTAAATTATTTAAAATTATTCAAGAATTGATCTTATTTATAATAAATATTACTTAATATTTTGATTTTATCTTTCTAATAATTTAATCTTTTAATAATTTAATATTTTAATAATTTAACTTTTTAATAATTTAATTTTCTAATAACTTAACTTTTTAATAATTTAAATTTTTGATAATATAATATTTAATAATTTAAGTTTTTAAATTTAAATCTAATTTATTTTAACTTTTTAAAAAAGTTAAATCAATCTTTAATTTATTTAAAAATTAAATTTAATAATAAATAAAATAAATTTAAATATTAAGTTATTAAGATTAAAAGAAAGTTAAATTATTAAAAAATTAAATTATTAAAAAGTTAAATTATTAAAAAGTTAAATTATTAAAAAGTTAAATTATCAAAATAGAAAATTATTAAAATGTTAAGTTTTAAGATATTAATTTTTAAAAAGTTAAATATTATTATTATTTTTAATATCTCTTGAAAAGATTATTTTATAATAGATTAATAACTTTATATAAGATAATATATAATAAAGATATTATTAATTACAGATAAAAGAGATTAATATAATCAAAAATATAATATAATAAATATTAGATTATAATTATAATAAGATTAAAGATAAATAAAAAGAGTATATTCATAATGTGATCAGCTAGAATATGATATGAAATCATAATATAAGAAATATATAATAATAAATAAGATATTGTTATGGCGAATCAGTAAGTGGGTTTTCACTTTGATTCACCCTAATGATATAGAGTTGGGAGAGACTAAAATAATAAAAGGTAAAGAGAGGGAAATTAGACTATAACTTTCAATAATGACAAAGGTTTCTAAGGCCTGTGCCAAT